TAAAATACGCGCGTCATGCGACAGGCGAGAAGGGTAGGAGCGTTATAAAGGCGTTTTATAGCGGTTGCGTTCGGCTGATTGGTGTGCGGTTTGTTGGAGGGCGATTTCGTTCTAATTGCGAGGGTGTAAGGTCGTGTGCATGCGTGGGTGTGTGCGCACGCGTGGGCGTGGGTGAGTGCGTTTGTGTGCGCGTGGGTGTGTATCCGTGGGTGAGTGCGTGTTTGTGTGCGTGTTTGTGTGCGCGTGGGTGTGTTTCCGTGGTGAGTGCGTTTTGTATGTGCGCGTTTGTGTGCACGTGTCATTAATGAGACATCGTATATAATTATGGGTTGGAACCCTACAGTTTTCATTCATTTATCATCGTGATCATGTTACAAAGCGATCTAGTTCGTTAAACACTGTAAACGATGTAATGCGTCAATACTGTGTGCTTTCAGAATACCATAGACTGTACACGGTTTTGAAAATATACACTGTAATTTAATACTTCGTATATGAAAACGAACGCATCTCATACAAAATACCTAATCAAATAATGAAAACACAGGCGGCGTGGCGGAGACCGAGCCGCTGTCTTTCATTGATTATTTACATCGTTATCGAATATACATATCGATTACGTCTATATGTACATAGTCACCCTATGATTCTCCACGAACATAATCAAGAAATGTTGAGAAACTATGATGCTTCCGACACATTCATTATCGCAACTACACCATCAGCTCAAATCGTGTGCTAGAATCTGCTACGATTACACATAGGTAATAAGCTAATTGAAATAGAGAAACGCATATAGTTGAATGTACGTCTACATCTAGAATCTTTTACTATTACACATTGCCAATAGGCCGAGTAGAAAAGAATAGAACATACCTCTATGCACACAGCGGGGTCTTAGCTCTAACACCACACAAAATCTTACGCTATCGTTACTATTAGCACATAGCCGATATAAAGATAAAGTCAAACAATAGGAGCGGCAGACCTCTATGCACAGCCTACCATGCAATAGATCTTACCTGGTTACTAATTATTGTTACACGGCGCAGCAGCGTCCGTCGCCCTGCGACTTGTTTCACAGCGCGCGACGCCTGGTCCCGCACTGCTTAGACTCATACAACTTGTCGCTCGTGTGAAGAAGAGAGAGGGCGGCCGTAGGCGGCAAGCGGCGTCTAAACCGCAGGCGATCCTCGCCGCGGACTTCTCATCTATGCAGCCGCTCCATGTCACGCCCCTGAGCGCGTTAACCATCATTGTCGTCGTGGGAAGAAGATGCGGCGATGAAAAGAGAGAGAGGGCGCCGGTACCAAGGCGCGTGTACCGGCAAGCTGTCCTCAGATCGAAGTGTCTTTTCAGCCGGGGTGAGATAGGCGCTTGCTCGTCCCGGACGCTGGCCGCAAGACTTCGGAGCGGGGTTTCTTCGTCGCCGGGCGCCGCCGCTAGGCGCCCGCCGGACCAGAAGACGCTCCTCCTGCTCCTCACACTGCTGCTGGGCCAACCTGCGGACGTGTGGAGGCGGCCGCGCAGCTTCTCCGCTGAAACATGACGACGAAAGATCGCGCGCGAGGAGTGAGGCGCGAGGGTGGCGAGCGACGCGCGCGCGAAAGGCGAAGGACAGTGGGCGGCAGGGAGGGAGAGCAGAGAAAACGGCAGAAGAGAAAAGAAGCAAGGGAAAGAGAAAACCGAGAGAGAAGAGAAACAGAAGAGTACGCGTTCTGCATGCGACAGCTTCGGCTGTAGCCAAGACGTGCTACGTGTCATAGGCATGGGCATACGCGTGGTAACAGAGGTTGTAGCAGATAGAGGCATCGACCAGTCAGCAGCAGCAGCAGCAGCAGCAAGGCAAGCAGCAGCAGTAGCAGCAGCAAGGCAATATAGTAGTGAATTAGTAGTAGCAGTAACAGAAGTAGTAGCAGTAACAGAAGTAGTAGTTGTAGCAGTAGTAGTATTAGCAGGATTCTCCAAGCTTTTTCATTATAGCATGGCGGGTGCTGCCTTTACGAAGTTTACGGTCCTAGTTGGAAATCGCCGAAGGCGGTTTGCGTGCTAGGGGGGTCCGGGGGCTACGATATTTAGAGTGGCGGGTGCATTTTAGGATGGCGGGGCTCGATGATAGCCTGGCGGGCCGCCAGGCTATAAGTGCTCTTGGAGAACCCTGATTAGCACGCACCTTCCTGGCTTCCCGGGAAGACGTCGTCGTCGTTCTCCTCGTCAGAGCTGAACGTCACGGCCCGCACAGGCTTCCTCTGTCGCACGGGTCGCGTGCTGCGCGGCGCAAAGTCCCCATCCTCTTCGTCCGACGACCACTTGTTTCTCAGAGGCGTGCGAGCCGGCGCTCGCTTCGACCCTAACGAGAGACAGTCAACCGTCAAATATCGATATCGACCGACGGGGGAAATTTCCGCCGTCTCCGTGTGCAACGAGAGTAAATTACGTAAACCGAGTATTAATGTATAAAACGAGTATAAAATGAGTATAAAGCAATTAAATTAATTATAAAATTATGAGAATCACGAGAAGTGTGTGCAGCGCAGTGCGGGTAACGATTGCCTTTCGTTAAGCAGTTAAGAGTTATCTGATCGTGTTGCGTAGTTGACACTGGCTAGTGTCAAACTTCAATATACTAACTTTAAAAGTGGTTTAGCGAATAAGAGTAAACGAGAGTCATAACCCACTTATTATTCGAAACGACTCTAAAATACCAAAACTCATTATCGCATATTCAAATCAGAACGGTTCGCAACAACACACGCGATGACGTCATGTCCCCGTCAAAAAGCTAAATATAACAAGGAGAGGAAGCGCCGCCATATCTGGCCCAAATATTTGCCATATTTGGTCATATTGGTCCAGAACAGATTAGTGTTCTATTGTCTCTGGGGGACGGATCTGCACAGCCGTTTCAGCTGATTATGGTCCATAGATGGCGTCCTTGAGGCGAAAAGCACACAGCCAATCCGCTTCCTCTCCTTGTTATATGTAGCTCCTTGGTCCCCGTTACTGCCTTGTCGATAAATCCATTTCATAAACTAGTGGCACTACAGACAGTAGGCACGAGCATCGCATTAATGACGACTCGTTATGAGACGATGCTGGTGATCGTGAGGTGTACCTCGTTTCTTCTGGCTCTTAGGAGCTGCTTGTGAATGCTTGGCGGCTTTGTCAGCTACCTGTCCTTCGTCCAGACCTTTAACGTGGCATTCGTGCAAGCGGTCCGCCAACTCATCCAGAACGTTCTAAAACACCAACAACAACAACATCATCATCATCATCATCATCATCATCATCATCAACACCAACACCAACAACAACACCAACAACAACAACAACAACAATATCACAACCACCAACAACAACAACATCAACATCATCATCTTCATCAAACAACAACACCAACAGCATCATCTTCATCCGCAACAACAACAACATCATCATCATCATCCGCAACAACAACATTATCTTCATCAACATCATCATCATCAACAACAACAACAACAACAACAACAACACCACCACCACCAACAACAACAACAACAACAACAGCGACGACCTTGGTGCACTGACCTTCAGCTCGACCTTGGCGTACTTCCGTGTCGCGTCGACGATGCTGCTCAGGCACGCGTACACGTCGTCGTCGGCCAGCTTGTCCGCGAAGCAGGAGAAGTTCTCCAGCAGCTTGCGGATCGATCGTTCGCCGTACGAGAGCAGTGAGAGGCAGTATGCGAGATCGTGCCACTGCCTGTCCGACCTGCACCGCGCGAGAGAGAAGCGTATGAGAGCAGTGAGAGGCAGTACGCGAGGTCGTGCCACTGCCTGTCCGACCTGCACCGCGCGAGAGAGAAGCGTATGAGAGCAGTGAGAGGCAGTACGTGAGGTCATGACCACCGTACGTGATCGTATTGTAGCACATTACGCGGAATTCGCGGACAGCTATTGATTTGTAAACAAATCGAGTTAAGTAAAATAGGATAAAGTCATTGTTATCAATGAACATTTTAAATTAATATTTAAATACAATCAAATTTTACTTAAGAGAAAATATGTTCACTAAAACGTTCATTATTATTCATGCTTATACCTTGTTGCTCTGAATCTGTGGCACAGCTTTTCAACAAGCCCTTCCAGCTGTTTGTCTTTTTGGATGAATGAAAATAGGTAGCTGAAAATCATTAATTACAATAAATGCGAGTAAACTAAATTGAGTAAAAATGAGAATTTGATGACACATATTAATCAGGCATTTATAATAATCACGCTAAAACATCATAGCGTCATTACATTTTCAAGCAGGCTGCAATGATTAGCGGTGTAAAGCATCGAGAATGAGTCTTGAAATGTGTGATACTACCACCACATTTACTAACAACAAAGCAATTTTTTATACTTTGTTTATACAGGAACTACGTAATAAAGTGTTTTCGATAACACCGTAAAAAGATACGAGAAAGTCTCAAGACAATAGCAGATGCAGAAAAGAAGAACCGTGCTTGTTCATTGATCAAAACGTGTCAAGGATATAGCTCGGGATACATTAAAACAATGATGAGTTTGATTAGAACGAATCGTAAACTTACGACATGATATTGCGGAATTGTTCCTCGGGTACTCCTGCGTCTGGGTCAGAGAGTCTGCTAATCACGTCCGGCAGAATATTATATACAGCGTTGCCCTGAAAATAACAACATAAATAATATAAAAACATAAAATATAACAATTTAAAAGAAAATAAAGTATATTGCCCTGAAAATAAAACCATAAATTATATAAAAACAGTAATTATAATACTTTAAAAGAGAAGATGACGTATATAGCTCCTTTTTCAGGCTTAAATGTGTTTCGTAATGCAATGGTGCAATGCTCACTTGGAATATATGAAGAAATACACAAACTACTTCATAAACATAGACAGAAAGCCCCCCTTGTAACGTACCTTTTTGGATAGCTCATGGAAGAACAGCTTAGTAAGACTTGCAACTCTCTCATCCACATCAGAGAGACACAGGGTTAGCTCGCTGAGTTGCCCTTTAACCTTGACCATGTCATTGAGGATGAGATGTGTTAACACCATCACGGTGTTTCGTCGTACCTGCGAAGACTCGTCCCGTAACCTGCAATGTAGAGAGCAAATATACATGTAAAACACATTGGCGACAGTCTATAATGTATCTCTGAGCACGAGGCTAAAAAGACCGATACAATTTTTAAATAAATTTTTTTTCAAATTAGGGATTGATGCTCAAGCGATAAATAAATGTAAATGTAAAAGATCGTAAATAAAATTTTAATAGCTGTGTTATTAAATGTAACACATAATGAGTAATCACTCACGCAATAACCCCCAAGCAATGTTGCATCGTCTCTCAGACAAGTAATCAATTGTAACCATCGCCGTGTCACAATCTCAATGGTGCGCTCACCCCTCTCTCTCTCTTCACACACACAGTCTCTCTCTATGCACTTGCGCACGCGCACACTCTCTCTCTCTTTGCACACATGCACGCGTACACACTCTCTCTTCGCAGTGCACGAGCACTCACCGCGTGTACAGATGCGTGCACACTCTCTCTCTCTCTTACTCTTCGCACACGCGCACTCACAGCGCGTACAGATGAGTGCGCCCTCTCTCTCTCTCTTCGCACACGCACACTCACCGCGTGTACAGAAGCGTGCACACACACTCTCTCTCTCTCTCTCTCTCTCTTCGCGCACGCACACTCACCGCGCGTACAGGTGCGTGGTCCACGGCTCGATGAGGTTAGGGAAGCGGAACGTGAGGTCGCCGATGGCAACGATGGTGTTGCCCCTGATCGTCGGATGCGTACTCTTCTCTAGGATCGTGAACAGCAGCTGCAGGTGCTCCTCACAGAACTCCGAACTGATGCGGGTGGCGAGCGAGAGAGAGAGAGATAGAGAGAGAAAGAGAAAGAGAGAAAAAAGAAAGAGAGAGAGAGGGGGGAGAGAGAGAGAGAGAAGGGGAGAAAGAGAGAGAGAGGGAGAGAAAGAGAGAGAGAGAGAGGGAGAGAAAGAGAGAGAGAGGGAGAGAAAGAGAAAGAGAGTGACAGAGAGAGGGGGAAAAAGGGAGAGAGAGAGAGAGGGGGAAAAAGGGAGAGAGAGAGAGCCAACGTTAGGCATCATGCACGCTCGGCGGTCGAACGGAAAAACACTCTCCGTTTCTCATTTGCCTTATAAAGTTATCGACCTGATATCAACAGTTGGATTAAGGAGCGATCGATACAAAGGAGTTTCAACAACTGTCATAACAGCCTGGAGAGTGACAGGTAGCTATGGCCAATCGGCATTGCAATGATGCCATTCTAAAAACACTGCTTAGTAAGATAGTGCCGTGATTTCGACAATATGGCGCGCGTGAAAAACACATATATGCAAGGGGGAGTGGTTTTCTCTCTTAGGCAAAGGTGTCAATTGCACTACGTACAGATAACACCATCACGAACTATATATCAGTCTTTCAATTTCATCGATTAAAAATGACGTCATTGGCGTGAAAACGTAACCACAACTGAAGAGAGGAGACAACGTACGAATGCGTGAACACGTACCTCACTATCATGAACTGGGCGAGGCTCAATGCTGCAGCCGTCTGCAGTTCTTCATGTGCGTACTCGCCTGGGTTGGTGCAAATCGCCACCACCAGTGGAGCAAACTGAGCCAGAAGGTTATCGCCTATCCCAGACACACGAGTAACAGTGAAGGATAGCTTAAAAGCATCTCTTTGCGAAAGAAGATTGACAATTCGATAATTTACGGAATTTTTCTGAAGTGAACGGCGTTCATACATCACTCAATTGACATGAGACCATGGAAAAAACAATCTATTTAATAAAATAATGGCAAGAAATGAGTGCTTGGATAGGTGTCACTGCTATATACATCGACTGTATTACCATAGACTAAGAATAATTTAAACAGTAATGAAACTGGACTTGTTACTGAAACTTGAAACTGTACTTGAATAACTTAAGTTATTCTTAGTCTATGGTATTACTCTCTCAAAAGCCTTTACATGTAAACCAACCGTCTTATACTAGTAGAAACAATAGGAGAGCAAGATATAAAATCAAAAACTGCCTGTTTTCCTCCTCTTTTTTGGGGGGTGGGGTGGGGGGGTGTCCAGGTTGTAAAACCTATCACAGAGAGCTATCTGATGTAGAATAGCGTGCTACCTGTGACGATTTCTTTATCGCAGACTTTCCTGACATAGTCGGCTTCAACATCATCCGTCACGGCTCCCGTTAACCCCATCTCATCCTCTATCATGTCACCTGTTGACTCCTTAAATATGCATGACACGGCTTCACTCAACAATAGACAATAACAACAATTATTATCATTAATTGTTTATAGCAGAATATTTACCTGCAAGAATTAAGCGAGTAGTAATAGATATATATGTCTGGTATTTAATCTAAAGCACTTTCTAATTAAAAATTTAGTAAAAATAAGTTTTTTGCCAAGTTTTATTTTAAAATACACCATTGTACTGCACATGTTTTTTTTATTTATTTATGACTTTTTAACATGCGCATTCAAGTTTTCAATTCAAAATACCACATGTCCTCTGACTGACTGACTGATTAACCAACTAACTAACTAACTAACTAAAGACTAATGTGCCGTCAATGATGAGCATCGATAACAATAACGAGAGATTTTTTGTAATCGGTCGGACTTCGCGCTCACGCACGCACCTTCGTCTTGCTGCCGTCCCCCGGCAGCGACGACTTGCGTCGGTGCGGCTGCTTCTTCTTGCTGTTCACTTCTTCCTGGATCGCGCGCCGTCGCTTCAGCTCGCTCGTGACGGCGCTGTCGACGTGCACGAGCTGCTTGAGCGCCACCTGGCCGACGACGACGATGAGGCGACACAGGTGGCTCGGGTTGATGCGCGTCGCCTCGCTCAGGACTCCGCTGCTGCCAACGTCGTCATTGCTGTCGTTGTCTGTCTCGTCGCGACACACTGCGCCGGGTGAATACGAGCGTGTCGTAATTATTAGATTGTTAATGTTGATGTAGGGCAGCACTAAACATGGGAACGAAAATTTATGAGAGGGGTTGACAGGGTGCGAAATTAACGCGAGTCCGGAGTCAAATACTCCCTGATTTGACATATGCAGGAGTCCGTGTGACTCCCTGAAAATTTTGCTATACTAACTAGTTTGTTCCAGAGCACGGCCTCGCGGAATTACCGTATTTTTTCAGCAAAACTTAATTTTGAACTTCAGACTACGGACTCCCTCTTTTTGAGGGCAGGAGTCCAACGGCCCCCGGGGCGGACTCCCGTGTTCAAAAGTTAATTTCTACCCCTGGGTTGACACGTGCCGCCTCGCTCAGGATACCTCCACCGCTGTTATTTCCATTGTTGTCCGTCAATCAATGCAATTTAGAAAAACAAATACATAATACTTAAAAGAACTATTTTAGATGCAAATTAAACCACTTTGTAACTTAACCGACTCTAATGCTATATCACGTGTGTTATTCTCACCAATTTCTTCCATGACCTGTTTTAAAATTGCGCCGCACAGTCTATCTGGATGTTCGGCTAGCTTGTAAATAAGAGAAACACCTTGCTGGGCCAGAGGTATGTAGTGTCTGTCGCTAAGATTCGTAATCCCTGCAAAATAAATCGCGACAAACAAATGCTTAGATTTAGCAGCAAAGTAGGAGACTGCAACAGTGTACATTGTACAACAGTGTTATTCCAAAATCAATGTCATTATGACATAACTAGATGGAGGATGCATAAATAAGAAGATGCTTTATGCTGAATGGCAATGCAATACTGTACTCTAGCGAACAGTGAAAGAGAAACAAGCAGAGCTGTACCTTTGACAAGGAGGTTGCTGAGACGTGAAAACATTTCGTGTTCGGCATCAAACCGGCAAGGTGGCGCCAGTGATCCTGCCTTCACCTGTAAACCAAACCACCATTTCTTTAGCTTTGGTATGCTAAAACAAGATTTTGGCGTTTTCTGTTCGCTAGAATTCCTCGTTGTAATAAAAATAAGTAAATAAGTGTTCAAAGAACAAATTTAATAGGGATTATTTTTCTGTGCCATTGTTAAAATATTCATTGTATAAAACGCTTTAGCAAATGTACTATTGCAGGCACTGTATCTACTGACATGAAGATTCGCTTGTATTTTTCATTTGATAATTATCATTAAAATATTCTAACATTATTTTGCCGGTATTATAATAGTATATATTTATATATTTATAGCATATTATATATATATATTGTAATACAATGTGGTAGTAAAAATTCATAACACAAAAGTTAAATATCATGCGAAATGTACTGTTATGCATACCTTTTGTCCGCCTGCCATTTTCATGAGTGCTACACACGCGTCAGTAGCCAGTTCAAAGTCGTTCTCCGCTCTCTTTCCAAATCCCTCCTCAATCAAGATGTCTATGTTGCTTTTAACTATTTCAACCACAGCCCTGATGCGGAAAACACAAATTCACTCAGAAAACTGAATAATCAAACTCTTGCATGATATAATAGGATCAGGAGTAGATAATAGAAGATCTATTATCTACTCCTGATAGGATGTATAATGATGATATATGATGTATATATGATACAGTGAAACCCCAATTTAACGGGTATTCGGATAATCCGAATACGCGTTAAATTAGGGCCGGGATATAACGCAATGAGTAATTGGACCTTTTTTTTGCTCTTTCCAGAACTGAAGTTTTTTTGTGAGTTAAGCCGGCATTTTTTTTGAACCCCAATTTAGCACGACCCCGCTTTTTTCACGATGACATTTTATGGACCTCAACGATCGTGTTATAACGGGGCCACACTGTATATAATGAATAATAACATTGACTGCAATGCTTTGTCAGACCTAAAATATAGAATTAAAATTAGAATTTAATATCATAACTTACCCTGCAGCCATTGCAAGAAGCTTTAAGGCCGCTTTGCTTTCATCTTGCGTGGTGCCCGGGATTTTCATCGCAAACCTTTCCCATAACATCTGGATGACGGAATTTTCAATCTCTCCATTTTTGACAAAATCTACAATCTGAAAAATAAGAGCAAATAATGATGCCAATTAGCGCATCAGTTCCATAATATGATCATGCAACTGAGAGAGAGAGAGAGCGAGAGAGCGAGAGAGCGAGAGAGCGAGAGAGAGAGAGAGAGAGAGAGAGAGAGAGAGAGAGAGAGAGAGAGAGAGAGAGAGAGAGAGAGAGAGAGAGAGAGAGAGAGAGAGAGAGAGAGAGAGAGAGAGAGAGA